TTTCTTGCACCTCCTCAACAATCACGAGAAGATCTTGGGCGGGATCCATACTGAAGTCATATATTCTGACCCCCACATCGTCAAGGGTCCACTTTCTCTCGTCAATGCGCCGAATTTGTGACGGAAGCTGCCAGAAGTGCAGCGTACTGCGGTTCTGGTCTCGAGCAAAGACACCGCCGTAAAGCTCCCACAACATGCTGTCGCTAGAAGCCGGACTGTCCTCCTGAGACAGCCAGGCAATCCGCTTCCATGCGCTCTGCCTCGCCCGCAGTACTGCGAGGCGTTCGGATGCCGGGAGGGTGCTGTGTAAACCGTCCTCCATTCCTGCAGCAGCCAACTCGATCTTATACTTCATGCGAACATTCTCATCCACGACACTCTTCAGCCGAGCACAGACCTGTAATGCATATTCCCGGCAGCTCTGTCAGTCAGAATTTCCGAACCGACGGACATGCTATCCTTACCGCGCGGCAGCAGAGTATGTGGCGAAAATCCAGGCAGGTGAGGATGGACGACAAAAGTTCTGTGGGTATATCGACCAGAGCCATCACCGATTCACCTCTGGAGTACGAGATGGCGTGAGTGTCCTGTCAAGAATAGCTTCTGAGACAACATATAGAACTTTTCGCTACCATACCTTGGGCGTGACACGGTCGAGCAGGAAGAAAAGACGTTTAAGTTAAGCTGTGTCGCACAGGTTCGATGAATCAGGCATCTCAGACGCCCGGCGCACTGCATGGCATATTATATGCAGGCTCAGGCTGCAGCAGCACATGATGATGATGTACATAACTCTTGTCCCCCTCTTGTCCACCTCGAGTACTTTTGTTGCTGCCCAACAGGTATCCTCAACGCAGCTCAAGAGGTGCACACGCACGCTTCGAGAGACAAGTAAGTACTTATCCGCATGGGGTGTTAACGTCATCGATTGGTTCTCCCCCTACCAGCTGATGTCCCTAACTTCACTATCGTATATTAGCTTGAGGGCACCACGAGCGTGTTGTAAAGGGGGGGGGGGGGGCGTATGTAAGGAGCCGAGGCTGGTCTGCATTGTTCCCAGAGAGGTCGCCGGTGGTAACGGGGTGATCATCTTGATCAATCCGCGGCCAGCGGGCGTTCGTCCCTTGTTCGCCTTAACTCCGTCCCATCACCAAACATAACCCGAGCTGACCGATTTCACACAGACTCAGCACTCGGCGTGTACTGCGACCATGGTTGACAGTTGGTACCACGAGGCATGGAACAGCAGCAACAAGGAGTCCTACATAGGCTTATCTGGACGCAACGAGCGCGGTCCGACGTCGGCACGGTGAACTAAAGCATCCTGAGAGAAGAAGTGCTGTCGTGGTAACATCATCTACTCAGTGTACGTCCATCAACCCGCCTTTCTACCTTTCACATTCGTATCCACATGGTCCTATCACGACTCAGGTGGCAGGCCGCCCGCCGCTCTAGATCTCGTACATGCTCGGCCTGAATGTACCAGGAATGTATACCGTCCTACCTATTCTTACGCGACTACGTATCAGCTGAGGATTTGGCCAGTAACCCGACATACTGGATCACACAACTGCCTGATCTGTCGGCCAACCGTAGGCGTCGGACCGCCTCATAAAAGGTGGAGATGCGGCGGGTAGTCGGAAGTCTGAGCCCCCAGGGTTACAGCAGTGCTCGTCGTCAAGCCTCCTCGTCGCTCTGCCCTCGGCCAGGATGTCCCCTCTCGCTGCTCGCCTGGCGGTCCTCGCCACCGTCCTTGGTGCTACCGGCGTGTCTATCGGTGCTCCTGCCGCTACCGTGGCCGCAGCTGACCCGTGTGCCAAGATTGCCGGGAAGCAGTTCGTACCTCCGGCCGACGCTCTGGCTTGCTTGAAGTCGTTCCCGTTCAACGAGACCTTACGCCAGAACGTTTTGACGGTCGTGTCGCGCGTATTCGACTTCTATACTTTCGAGGATTATTACTTGAAGTCGCCGCCGCCTTTCCAGGATTCAACGGTCAACATCCGAGCCGAGCTGGCACGGATCAACAGGACGCACTACGCGGCACGTAATCCCATCGCGCCACATCTCGCAATGCAAGGCTAACGAGACAGACAGACGGACTACGACTTCAACCAGGACTTGTACTTTTTCACCAATCAGTTGAACGACGGACACACGCGTACGTGCCTGTTCTGTACTTGTCGTCCGACGTTCCCTCGACGGACGCGACCGCATGGCACTGCCCCGCAATTCCCGCACTATCAGCAATGCTGAGCGGCGTGCGGGGCAGCATCCAGGGGTGCTGAGTGTCAAAGATCCTGCTTCTGCTTCGCTGATTCCGGCCGTGCTGACCGGTTTCGTTCCGACAGGCTGGCTCCCGAACTGCCAGACCACGTTCCAAAATTTGCTTCCCGCACCTCTGGTCACGCTCGAGGAGAAGGGCGTTCAGAACGTGTTCGTCGCGCCCGATTCGGTGGAGTTTGTGAGCCTCCTTGGCACGGCCTATACGTCGTTCTTCGACTCCATCGGCTTTAACTGGAAGCGCCTTGCTGGTGCGAAAGTGCTCAAAATCGAGGGCCAGGACCCGTACGAGTACGCCAAGGTCATCGCGGCGACGAAGTCCGGGAACTACCTGGACCACGGCGTGCGCGTGAACAGCGTGTTCAGCAGCTACCGTATCTCTGGGAACGACTACTCGCAGCGCTTCGGCGACATTGCGGGCCCTGCGTTCCCTGATTTGACCTCGCTCACTCTGACGCTCGTCCCCGTGAACTCGACGAGGGCCGAGACGGTTAAGGTTCCGTTCCTGTCGAACTACCTCGGCGAGCCGTTCACGAACAAGGCGGACTTGTACGTGTTTCTTCCGTGTTCCCCTACTAGTATACTAATGATTCATGGACCGCATGTCCAGCTGGGCGGCGAACTGCGCTGCCAATGATGAGACGAACGGCGTCGACTTCAAGAATGACGCCCAGATGGCCAAGATCAGTGCGCAGAAGGCGACGAAGCTCGCGAAGGCGAGCATTGTCCAGGACGTCGGACCCAAGAGCGCTGTCGGCTTGCCTTCGCAGTTTCAGCCGTCCCTGCCGACTGTCCCCGGTAGCGAGGGCGTCATCAAGTCGTACATCCTCCCGGACAACAAGACCGGCGTGGTGAGTGTCGCTTTGCGTAGCGCGTCACGATCGGGCTGACAAAACCTGACGTTATGCGCGCAGATGTTCGTGGGTTCTTTCGAGCCGGACGACTTCGATCAGTTCCAGACAGATGTGCAAGACACATTCACGCAGTTCCAGGCAGCAGGCCTGACTCAGCTCATCGTCGATTTGACCAACAACGGCGGTAAGTGTCAGCTTCTGAAGCGAGGACATCTGTCTGCCCATGTGCTCATCATGCTGCTAGGTGGCTTCGTGTGCCTTGGCCACTTCCTCCATGCATTTTTGAGCGGGACCAACAGCCTGGGTAGCTTCCCCAATCCGTATGCTTGTCCATGCGCTACCCGAACCGTCCGTCTGACTTGCATGGTTTGGCAGGGGCTACCAGTCTACGAACCGCGCCAACCCGCTCGCGCAGAAGATCCTGGTGTCGGACATTGCGCTCGGCCTCACGGATAACTTCTCATTCTACACTCCTGACAACTGTAGGTTCCTTGGTCCGCTCGCAGATTGGTGTTGGACGACACTGATGCATGCCGTATGAAGGGGCGTTCATCAACAACACTGACATGCCGTTGACGCACAACTACATGCAGCCGCCTAACACGAGGACAATCAATGGACAGAAGTTCATCGAGTCCCAGCGCTTCGCGGTGCGTGTGCCCCTCCGCAACAATGCTGCCGAGCGATACTGAAAAGTGTCTAACCAGGATATCTGCCCGATCGTCGTGGACCTCCCGGCGGAGCCGTTTTTCCCGCCAGAGAAGATCGCCATCGGTTGGTGCATTAGGCTTGGTGGCAGTCGCAGAGGGCGAAGCTGACCGTTGGATACAGTCGGCAATGCGAACTGCGCATCGACCTGCGCCATGTTCAGTACGCTCATGAACGAGCGCCACAACACGACCATCGCCATCTTCGGCGGCGCGCCTGACTTTCCGATGCAATTCAAGGGTAAGTCATTGTGCTCGTTCTGCAATCAAGGTATCTGCCTCATCCTACTGTCAGGCATGGCCGGCAACCAGGTCTTGGAATGGTTCGACATCGACTCGGAGATCAAGACTGCGAATCTGAAGGATGTACGTGCACGCCCACCGCTCGGACTCACCAAATTGGAGCTGACTGCTTTTCTCCAGGATCCTCTGGCACCTCCTGACTTGTATGCTGCCGATCTTATTTGTACCCCGAGCTTACTGACCCGTATATCTTCAGGCTCGTCAACGCAGACTTCCGGTAAGTACTCTCCGTCGTGAATTCTTCACATTGTCTCTTACTTCTCGCCTTTGCGTAGTCATAACTGGCGTATCGGTACGGATCAACTGCTGAGTATTGTCAGGTCCCATTGACTTATGTCTTCCATAGCCTACAGCTTCCTCGACGAGACTCGGCCAATCGGTGAGACTCACTAATCTGTACGCCCTACTTCACTTGCTGACGCGCGACTCATTATAGAGTACGTTTCGGAGCTTCCGCACTGTGAGTGTGGTGCCCTTCCTGAGACAGTCGCTCATCCTGACTGATCGCATTATCTGCAGTCCGGTTTGCGTACACATCAGACACCTACAACAACCCCCAAAACCTCTGGACGTTTGCGTAAGACTTCGTATCAAACCCCGACTGCGCGCGCTGACGTTCGTCATTGTTCAGGGCGGGAAAGCTTTTCTAGGGGCAAGTGTGGTCAGGACGCCTTCTGCGTTCGCATGCAGAGGTCGCAATCTTCTCGATGCGGGCGTTATGGGGTGGATACCGTGTCCTTAGCTGCCCTTAGCGACCAGGTTCATTCGAGATCACACAGAATGTAATGATTACGACGCACGGCCTGGGACTGCGAAGAACTTACGAGGATACAACCTCCACTAGTAAGTGGCTTCTTTTGTATGCATGTGGTTCGAGGATGGGACCTCGGGCCGCAGACATAGACGCAAGGAACGAGCCCAGCTATTTGATACACGGACCGGTCAGACCATACGCAATTTGCACGCAAACTCGACTACATACATACTTAATTTTCTCAACGACTAGACGAAGACGGACAGAACATTATCATACATCAGTAGGACTTCGAGGACCCAATCAATTCAGAGGACGCTGCTCCACAATCGTCTGCGCTCCTCGTCAGCGTAGAGGAGTCGACATATGACAGACAGGGCAGGGCTTACGACGATGGAAGAACACAACCCCACACGTTCACCTCCTTGTCCTGTCCGAGAGTAAAGTCCTTCAGCTCTTGCGCATATGTCGCCGCGTACCGAGACGCCAACGTCTTGGAGTCTGTGACGAAGACAACGTGCCAAACGCGCTTGTACCGAACCTCTTGGTCGAACATTGTCCAGACGTTCTGGAGCCCTGCTCAGGGCTGCTGTATTCATCGGCTATATTGGCTTGTACCGCATAGACATTTCGGCGGTTCGCGAGGACGCCGTCGACGCCCGGAAAAGTGGACGTCGACGGTAGCCAGTAGAAGGACGAAAACACACTGCATCGTGCAAGCGCAGCAGCCGTGCCGGCGAGCAGCCGTAGAGACAGCTTCAACTTCGACGAATGGTGCTCATTGGCGATGGCGGGGGCCGACAGTTGCTGGACAAGTGGACGTGTACGCGTTTCTCGAATCTCCAGGCCGGGGCTGATCTCGTCGAAGCGTGTGAAGAGAGCGCCTGGAAAAGCTGTGAAGCCTTTTCTTCTGCAAGCGACTGGCGTGCGGAGTGAAAGATCTCGGAGAGGTAGGGGATAGGGATGTAGTAGTCGAGCTGACGGAACACAAGACGCGGGAAGTACCCGGAACCAACGGACGATCAGGAATCACGCGAAGCCTACGCTCGGTGCCATGAGTGTCTCAGGATATGCGTATGCGAGGGGGTGAGCGCAGATGACTTCCGCCGCGGCCTGGGCCTCCTGGACGTATTGTCGTTCAAGGGGAGTGCGCGAAGCAAAGGGTAGACTCAGAAGGTCTAAGATCGTTCGAGTGCACGAGCCCCACTGGCTGAGATAACGATTCGCCTCAGTCACGTTGAGTCCAAGCTCCTTCCTGCATACGTCGAGTCAGCACACACTGGCGTAAGGAAAACATAATCCAACCACTTACACGATAACCCCTATCTGAAGTGGGCGCGGTAAGTCTGTGACGATGATGCTAGCCGTGCGCTGTTTCGTCCATCCTCTCCACTTGTCAGCTTTCGGACACGAGGCATGGATGAGACGTGCGGCTGTTCTTCGGAAAGCATCACACGGTTTCTCGATGGAGTCGTTGGATTCCGAGAGAGCCCAGTAGCCAGTCGCCAACTCTATTATGTCACTCGCATCCCTTACTGTCGCACCCTCGTTGTTGAAGACGACCAAATACTTGCCGGAGAGGTGAATGGCTGTAGGAAGTTTGTGCTCGAGCCGGTGCAGCAGCACCTGCAGGAGGAAGACTGTCTTACCTGTGTATGTGCACACATCAGCAAATTAGCGAACTCGTAAACAGAATCTACGAACCAATGCCCGGATGGCCCATGACAACGATGGCATTGTCCCTGTGCAGATAACCCCACTCAATCGTCTCCCGGAGCCATGTATTCGGGCCGGATTACGAGGACGTCCTGGACTATGCAGACGTCTTCAAGGCACGCCTTTACAACCTCGTGGATTCTGTGTAGGCAAGTGTATTGCCAGCTAGTCGAGTTTGTGCTGACGGCAACGTTGTCCTCGTCAGTCTCGATTGACATCGGTATGTCCTCGTCGGAGAGTTCTTCCGTGGAGACATGTCCTGATGACTGATTGGGTCAAGGCTTGCCCCAAGCCTTGTCCCATAATTTCTTGGCGAGTACTGAGGGCTTCGGGGAACGAGCCATATGTACTTGTAGAAAGTGATAGTCAGAGGAGAAGTCAGAGCTGTGAGCGCCGGCGCGAGTCACTGCAACTCTTCTGCAACTCTTCCGCAAATCTCTTTGCTTCCTCCCACCATCGCCCATTCGCGACCTCCTTTTCATCGCGCGAACTACTCTGCACGGCTATACGAAGAAGATGACTGGTGTTCGCCATCCTGAGCTGCACGACCTGCGAAGTCAACTACGCGAGATCTACCACGCGATGGCCACCTTCGGATCCACCCAGCTTGCAGCGAAACCTCCCATCCTCGACTCGTCCATAGACCTCAGCAGGGAGAGCGAAGAATCTCACTCGCATCAGGATGCAGTACACGGTCTGCGTGCACTGCGCGATGCAGTCAGGCGAGACCTAGACGTCCTCGAAAAGGTGAGTTTGTTCCAGTCATACAGCCCGAGCCCTGTTCAATGTTGCGCTACAGTAGTTCTTGAATGACCCGGGAAGCGCTTCTGCGCCCGCCCTGTCGACGAACGCGCCGTACCTGATTTCTGTGTGGAACGAGGTCCTGCACGCGTCGCCCCCCATCGTCACTATCATGCGCACCTTCGTCGAAGGCGACCAGCCCGCCCATGTGCCCCGCCGCGGCTCCCGGAAGCCTCCTGGAGTCAAGGTGGATGTTGTCTCGGAAGGCGGAAGGCGATGGGTACGCGTGAACACGTACGTCGTGTGACTACACGTCCCATGAATGCACTGACTTGCGATGCAGCACAAAGAACTCGCGTCTGCTGGCCGAGTTCCGCGAGATCGACTCCTACATGACCGAGTCTGACGAGGAAGAAGACGATGGGACCGGCCGGCCGAGCCTCGCCCCGAAGGAGTTCGACAACTCTATACTGCGAGTCGGCCGCTCTCTCCTTGAGGCTGCCCGCCGGAACCCGGTACCCGGAACGAACACGCCCCCCTCCATAACCCTCCGTCTGACGCGTCTAGATCCCTCGCCCGCCGACAGGAAGGAATACGACCCGCGTATAGCGCAGACGATACACACGCTGCGCGACATGGGCATAGACGTCCAGCTCGGCGACCGCGATCCTGCTCAGCTACCCAAGGTGTCTCCAGCTCCAGTGCGCCGTCTAGAACCCACAATCCGTGTCAACCTCGACCTTTCCATCCTCATTGCACTCGTGTCGGACATCACCCACTCCCCTCTTCCGTCGTCCCCCGAGGAGGCCGACGCCCGCTACGTCCCCTCTGCCCAATGCCGCGAGTGGAAGCGGAAGCGCGAAGGGAAGAAGCGGCTAGAGGAGGAGGAGACCGACGGAGAGAACGGGATGGGGAAGCATTCGCGTGCGCTCGCGAACCAGGCGCTGCAGGAGATGGGCCGCGGTCTCTTGCACGAGCTGCGCGATCGCCTGTCGTCCGTCTCGTCTCCAGACCTCGCCGACGTCGAGTTCTGGACAACCCCCGAGGCACGCGACCGCTGCCTCCGCATCGTGCTGTCGAAGATCGGCGGCCCGCACGAGAAACGGCGCGCTGCCGCGCTCTTCCCTGCCCCAGACACGCCGCTGCCTGAGGCCGTGGACAGGTACTGGGAGGACTCTCGCTATCCCCGGGCGTTCCTCCCTCTTGTCCCCATCCGCGTTTTCCCGTCGTCCGTGCCCGCACCCGACGTCGAGCCCGCAGCCGCTGCGGACGCGCTCTCGCCATTCTTCAGAGTGCTCGCGCGGACGTGCCGCGACATCCTCGCACAGGAGGCCGCTCCCGCTCCCCCACAGACTGTCGACGAGGACGAGGAGATCGAGCGCGCGGCTGTGACGAAGGCGAACCCGCGCCTCACCGCACACACCGTGCAGAGCATGCTGTGGGGCGCGGTGCGCGGGTGGACGACGCTCACCGCGAACAAGTCCAGCGTGAAGGCGATCCTGCGCGACATCAGAACCGCAGAGGGCGGCTACGGAGCGGCTGCCGAAGCTGCTCCTGCTCCCACTGCTGCTGCTGTTGCAGTGGAGAAGGCGGCGCTGTGGGTCGTCGACCCGAGGAGTCTCGCGGAGGGCATGAGGTCCGATTATTCCGAGTAGAGCTGACCGTTATGCATGGACATACGCACGGACGATGCACGGCCTGCAAAGGAGGAAGGTATTTTCAGGCGCCAACCAACGTTACGTGTGCCAGCCCGCACACTTGCGCAGGCGACGTCTACGGAATGCCCAGTGTATGTCACGGTAGATTACTTCATATCCAGAATCGCGTGGACATAGATAGATCTGCTGAACTCTACGAGGGAGCCGCACTGACTGGCCTCAACACTGAAAGGACTGACGGGTATGGAGTGAGGTGTGCCCAAATCGCAACCAGAAGCACAAGCGTTTAGCCGAAGAGGAAGCAGCTCAGAGAGTACTTGTGTAGTGTCCGACAGATATCTGAAGAGGGCGAAGGACGGAAAGGGCTTCTCCGCGCAGGACGCCTCTACAGTATCGGTGCTGGTGCCGGCAGGGATCACAGCAGCCTTGGAGGCCAGTAGTCTCCGATCCTGAAGACAATTTTTGCATGGGGCGTTGACTCTGAATTAACAGATAAACAATCTCAACTGTCTATCCGAACTGAACTGATGCTGATTGCGTTGTTGGACTGGAATCAGTTTCCACCGCCCGCCAAGGAATGATGATGGCAGTAAGTGAGATCGGGGGACACAGGTCAAGATGGACCTGTTCGCAGTGCCTTCAAGTTCATATCAACGTACAACTTCCACGGCCAACTGCATCTGATATTCAATGTCCTAAGGGATGCTTGAGCCACGGAAGCGGAAGGAATGCATTACAGATATGCACCCACCGGATCATCCACAATCAGAGACTTGACCCCTTCGGCCGCCCTTCTATAATGCTCTTGACGAGCGGCGCGGTTACTTTCCTCGTAGCATCGACATTCTTCTGGTTCCACACGCGCGCGTGGAATTCGGTCCCCTTGAAGCCATTGTGCACGCCGAACTCCGGGAATTTTTCCCTCTTCAACCGCAATTCCTCCGCCTCCTCCAAGGCGTCGAAGAGCTGGGTGGCGAGATCCTCATCCCCGCGCACGACGTACATCTGCTCTCTCCTGTGTTTGCCCTTCCCGCTCTTCCCGAGCTTCTCCGTGTCACGGAAAGATGTGAGGATGCCAAGTACTGTTAGCCCTCTGTCTTTCATAAACCTCTGCGTCTCTGACCAAAAGTCGGCATGTCGCGGTAGCCACGAAGCAAAACCGACGGGCACTGACGAGAGCCCCACGAGGATCTCGCGCGATGGCGACTGGGCGGGGGTCATCGTGTACTCCTTGTAATCTCTCTTCAGCAGGTCGAGCGTCCCGAGGTGAGCAACAGATGCCTTCTTCTCTTGCAGGGTCGTGTTCAGGTCCTGGATCCCTGGCGTTTCGTGCAGCGCAGCCTCATTGACAGCGCCGATCTCCAGCCCGACTCGAACGCGTCTGCCTTCTGCGCCCGGATTCGTGTCGGAGGGAATGATCAAGCTCGTCTGCGCCGTGGAGTCGGACTGTTGGTTGTGCGCTGCTATGCGCGGGAGGAGGAAGCGCGCAGCCCGATGGTCGGCTGCTTCTGCCTTGCCCCCAGGCTTCAGCCCGCTCGTGTCGATGAGAATGCTGCAGAGGAGAAGCGTAGCGAGCTCGGGTGGTAGATCGTTCGAGCCTTCCGGGTGATCCTGGAAGAGCTGCGTCACCAGCGACGCGCAGCTGCCTGTTGGGACGACGATGAGCCGTGGGTTCGCTGTGTCACGGTAGAGGCCTTCGTCCTCATGATGGTCCACCACGGCCACGACACGGGCATCCGGATTCGAGTTGGAAAACCGCGGACTCAGCCGGTTGTGGTCCACCAGCGCGAACGACGACGAAGGGAAGCCGGACTCGGTCGTGTGCGGTACGTCATCGATACAGAGGATATCGGTAT